CAGTGTTTCAAAAGAATTTTAATGTTAATAAGTGCTGTTCTTTCGAACCTTACATAGATAGTTTATAAACTGTAATTTTTCAAAAGATTTTAATGTAAATAAGTGCTGTTCTTTTGAACCTTATGTAAAATATTCATATAAAAACTGTAATTTTATTGTCACAATCACCAGCGATCTAATCCTTGCAGATTGCTAGTAAACACATTGTTCACTAACAGACTACAAATCTGCCATTATAGACTACAAGTTCCAGTCATGCACCTCTCATACACACCTGTTCCAGGTTCCGGAGATGACACACACACACACACAGACACAGCTGTTCATAACTGATTAAATGGGATATAAAGAGAGCTTGTTATACTGCATTGTGAACATTACGACCCGGTTTCATTGCCTTGCCTGTTTTGACCCTCGCCTTGTTTGTTTGTTTGTTTGTTTACGTTGTATTCTGCATGCCTTTGATCATTTGCCTGTGTACTGACCACGACTCTGGATTGCCTGTATACATCTGTTTGCTCCTGTGTTGACCACTGCTTGCCTGACCATCTCTGTTTAATTAACCTGCGTTTGGATCCGCACCTCTATTGTCAGCGTCCCTATTCACAATACAGTTATATTAAGATTTTGATTATAAATAAGTGCTTCTTTTGAAACTTACATAGAATCCTGGAAAAATGTATCATGCTTTCCAGATAAAATATTTAGCAGTGCATCTGTTAATATAATAAATGTTTTTTAAACATCAAGCAGCAGATGATATCAGATGATATCTGAATGATATCTGTTGTGATGCTGAAGATTGGAGTAATGGCTGCTAAAAATAAAATAGAAAACAGTTATTTTAAACTGTAATAACATTTTAACATTTAACAATGTTTTTATTTTTATAAAGTTAAACATAAAAAGTGTAGTGTTTTATTTCTGGACATTTCAATATTAGTTGTTTAAAAGCTTAATGAGTTGTCTACAAAGACATCATTTTTGTGCGTTATTGGATAAGTTCCAAAGTTGGCTGCTTAAAAGTCTAGGGACCTGCCGACTTTGACACCACTTGAATGTTTGTTGTTTTAAAACCTATTGAGCTGCCAATTTAGGCACACTGGATCCTTTTCTTGGCTTATTGGACATTCAAAGCTATTTAACCACTAGCTGTTTTAAAAAATTCTTGAAAACTTTTTATGTTGTTTGTTTGGGCATCATAGACTAATTTTAAGATACTGCAGTACAGCTGCCAACACAGAAAATAAAAGAAAAGAATGAAATGAAAGAACAGAAATGAAAAAATTGCCTTACTTGACTACATAATGTATTAATACTGTATATTTAAAGATAATCTGAAGTGCCTTGGAATACACAGCTATTTCTGATGTGTGACATAAATTTAAAGGAATGTTTTACCCAAGAAGAAAAATTCTTTAAAAATTTCCCCAGCCTTTACTTGTTTCAAATCTGTTTGATTTTCTTTGTTTTGTTGAGTGCTAAATAAAATATTTTAAAGAATGTTGGAAATAGTATTTGTTTCCTTATCTATTATAGATGTCAATTTTTAGCTGAACTATTCCTTTAACTGGAGTCATTGAGCTAAAACTGCATTCTAACAACCACACTCTATAATAGCAAAGTTGAGACTGTCTAACTGTTTCTTTGCTTTATTATACAGCATTTAATGTAAACCATATTGGTTGAATAGTTTTTGTGGTTGGCACTGACCCGCTTATCTGCGCTGCATTTCTCTAGAGCAGAGCACACAATGGAAAGCATATTTACACTGAATCGTTTACCCCTATAGTGCACATACTGTATGTGCTATTCACCATCTAGAAAATTATAATAAAGTGTAACAGACTTATTTTTGAATGTGTGTGTGTATATATGCAATGTGTTTCCCATGTCTGGTCTAGCTGTAGATACTGTAGGTGAGTGAATATGTACATTTCCTGCCAGCATCCTGGGTTTTGGTGTTCCTCCTCCTCAAATTGTCACGACTAATAAAAAACCTGGAGTAGTTTAGATCATCATTGTATGCTGACTTGTATTATTTCCTTTTATATTCAATTATTTAGGTGAACAGTGTATGAACATTTAATTACTTGTGAATAAGTGACCAATTTCCACAAGGTCTTAAAATGGACAGAACGCTTCAGTTACTAAGAGCATTTAATTTAGATCTGATGATAAGACAAAGTATACAGTGCTGTCATAAAAATAAAAGCAATGAGAATCAAGAGTTGATTCAAAAATTCAGAATCGATTCCATAAAAGGAATCGACTCCTCTTTTCAGTTTAAAGACGTATTGATAATTTGACTCTCTTGCTAATAAGGATCAGAAGTCATTTACTATGATCAGATACATTTCCAGATACTACAGGTTTGGATTGTTTGCTTTAATTGATTGGTTCAAATAACCATATCTGTTGTTTGCTTATTTAGTTTTTGTAACAGGTGGTTATGATATATCATGTATTGCTAATTATTGCCTTTTTTTTAATTTAAGTTCATGATGTTTGTGGTTTTATCTGCACACATACAGTTGAAGTCAGAATTATTATCCCCCCTTTGAAATTGTTTTTCTTTTTTTTAAAATATTTCCTAAACGATGTTTAACAGAGCAAGGAAATTTTCACAGTATGTCTGATAATATTTTTTCTTCTGGAGAAAGTCTTATTTATTTTATTTCGGCTAGAATAAAAGCAGTTTTTAATAATAATAAAAAAAACATTTTAGGGACAAACTGATTAGCTATTCTTCCCCGGCTAGTCTACAGAACAAACCACTGTTATACAATAACTTGCCTAATTACCCTAACCTGCCTAGTTAACCTAATTAACCCAGTTAAGCCTTTAAATGTCACTTTAAGCTGTATAGAAGTGTCTTGAAAAATATCTAGTCAAATATTATGCACTGTCATCATAGCAAAGATAAAATAAATCAGTTATTAGAAATGAGTAACATAAACTATTATGTTTAGAAATGCGTTGAAAAAATCTGCTCTCAGTAAAATGGAAATTGGAAAAGAAAAATAAACAGGGGGGCTAATAATTCTGACTTCAACTGTATTTATACACATGGTGTTTGTTGTATGTATCTTACAAAAGGCATGCTTTAGCATTATGTGGTGAAACTAAACTATAATCCCCAACAGAGGTTTTTGAGCTCCAGTTTGAAACCATAAAAAGATACTAGATGTATGTTGTGTAGGGTTTAATCTTATTTTTGTTTTTAAATAAAATTATACTTATAATATTGCTATTCACTTGTCACTGTTATACTATAGCTATACATCCATTCATGACTGATGTTATAATGCTGTGCTATTATAAATGTTATAATGGTATTTCTTTGTTCACATTTCTGTGAACATTTTAAAACACATGCAGTACAGTACAGTATGTTAATACAGCTTGTTTGCATTAATAGTTATTTGCTTGCTTGATCTGATTTAACTTTACTACTGAAACAGTTTAAGATAGGGATGCATTGAATTTTCAGTCGAAAATGCCATTTTCCTTTTTTTTTCAGCCAAAAGTGAAATACGGCTGAAAATAAGGGCAGAAATAAAGGTTACACGCTCTGGTTTCACTTCCCCTTTAGGCATAGTCATTTTGTGATGCGGCTTTCACAGCAGATGTGGATAATGATTCATTATGAAACCTGTTCATTTCAATGCGCTAAGCCAGGGGTGTCCAAGCTCAGTCCTGGAGGGCCGGTGTCCTGCATATTTTAGTTCCAACCCCGATTAACCACAACTGAACCAGCTAATCAAGCTTTTTCTAGGCATACTAGAATATTCCAGAGAGGCTTGTTGAAGGAAGTTGGAGCTAAAAAATGTTTTTTATTTGCTTGTTTATTTAACAGGGACAATACACTTGACATTGTTATACAAAGATAACCGATGTTGCGTACATAGGGCAGATAGCATAAAGCTAATTTGAAGTCCTCGTCCCTGGAACTATGCAGGACAACGGCCCTCCTGGACCGAGTTTGGACACCCCTGCGCTAAGCAAAGGACATATTGTTGCTGTATTTACCAAAGTGCAAGTTAAGTAGGGAAATTATACTATTTAATAAAAAAATTATTAAGCATTTTTTGGCAGCATGGTGGCACAGTGGGTAGCACGATCGCCTTACAGCAAGAAGGTCACTGGTTGGAGCCCTGGTTGGGTCAGTTGGCATTTCTGAGTAGAGTTTACATGTTCTCCTCGTGTTGGCATGGGTTTCCTTCGAGTGCTCCGGTTTCCCCCACAGTCATCAGTTTCTCCCATAGGAGTGTATGGGTGTATCCTGGTGTTGTCTTTTGGCCGGATAAGTTTGCGGTTCATTCCGCTCCGGTGACCCCTGATTAATAAAGGGACTTAAGCTGAAAAGAAAATGAATGAATGGTTTCAGTTTTTGACCAAATGCATCCAGAATTTTTTATTTTGCTAACTTTTAATTAACTTCACGTTAAGTATAAAGAATCCAAAAAGTATCCCAAATACTGTGAGAAATCATTTCTCGGGTTCAACTCTTATTGATTGGGAATTGTAATCAGGATCAATCCAAAAATCTTGTAATCAAACAGCCAGACATAAAGATATTCTTTAGACAAACCTATTGATACTAACACTCAAACTAACACTCAAACATTTATTATACTTCACAGTATAGTGAACTGTCTTTTAGTCAGATCTATTTGCATGTGCTTTAAAACCTTCTGAATAACCTAGCCATCATGTACCTCACAAACAAAACTGCATACAAAAGAGCCTTCTAAGCACTAATTAGTCAAGTCAGTAGTTTTCGAAACACAGCCTGTTTATTGATTTATCCTAACCGAGCTTGTGATTGGTCGTAGCGTAGTGTAATGTTTCCACAATACAGAATGTCAGCCCTCCTCTACTGATGTGTGTATTCTCTTCACAGCTAGCAGCAGGCTGACGAAAGCTGTTGTGCAGTGTCTGGGTTGCATCAGGATCTCCATCTTACTTTGGGCTGCTGTTTCCTTTTGTGTTTTCAGAGCATCTTCGCTCAGTTCCAGTTCAGCAGTGAGAAGGTGCTCCCATCGGATGCTCTGCGCAGCGCTCTGGCCAAAACCTTCCAAGACGAGCAGCGCTTTCAGCTGGGCATCATGGATGACGCGGCCGAGTGTTTCGTAAGGCTTTTGATTTCTCCCATCTCGCTTTTTCTAAACTTCTCTCTTCTTTGCTGACGCATTGATCAGCTTTAGTGGGGCTGCACAATGGATCACTTCAGCATTGATATCGCAGTGCATCCGCAATAGTTACATTGCAAGATATGCAATGTTAAGTCTGAATTATAGTTGATCAGAGTGAAGGTCAACTCTCGAGTGAAGGTTTAGCATTTGCATGCGTCTGTGATTGAGCATTTCAAGAGAGTTTAGAACATTTGGACACAAAAATGATGTATGGAAGTGTAACAAAGATTTATTGTATCTAAATATTTATATAGAATTTATGTGATTTATTGTTTCCAGTCCAAATAATTACATTCAAAGCAGAAACAAGATTATTTTACTTACCTCATTGACAGATCATGTTGCTTCTTTTAAAGAGCCCCTATTATGGGTTTTTAAAAATGACCTTCCATGCAGTGTGTAACACAGCACTAAGTGAATGAAAACATTCTGCTGCGGTTTAAATCTGAAAGTTCAAAGTGTTTTAAATTATTGATTCTTTTATAAAATATTCTACTTAGAAGCGAATAAATGAATCGTGTTGGGTTTGGATCTTTTGCCTGAACGTGTTGATGTCGATACGGTACATCACCAAATACATAGTGCCGGATCCGGTAAAATGTGAACGCTCCTTTCCCTTCAGACACTAGCGGAACGCAGGGATAACAGGACTGATTATAACATGAAGATAACGATCACTGACTGATAGAGATTCTGTTGCAGTGAAAGGATTAAAGTTCATTTCACAACAATACAATGGTATAGCCAACTGTGTTTGCTGTGTTTGTTCCTGTTGTTCCTGATGATTGATACAATAACCTACATTGCAATGCAGGACTCGTTGACTGTTTGCTATTAAAACAGCCAACACTATTATGTATGGGACTATTATGTATGGGAAACTTTGTCAGTAACTGTTACAATTCATTCATATGGACTAGTTTCTTCTTCCTGAACTGAACTGATCTTAAACTGTGAAAACTGAACTGACACTGTTTCAATTTACTATTATCTTTTATGTGAAGCTGCTTTGACACAATCTACATTGTAAGAGTGCTATAGAAATAAAGGTGAATTGAATTGAAAAAAATAATAAAAATTGTTGCCTCGTTTTCTGTAGTTTGCAAATTTTGTTGTTAATAGTGTATTGTAACTTGTAATCACCCTTTGCAGCTTGTAACATGTATCTATTATAGATCAGTCCTTGTATTGTATCTCTCAGGTTAAATCTTTATGGGGCTATTCACATATTGCGTCCAAAACCATGTAAAAAACAAAATGCGTGCTTCTTCCTTTACCAATTTAAATGCGTTTCTGAAGTCGAAATCTTCTGTCGTTTGACATTGGTATGGCAACCATCAGCTGTTCCTACACATGCACTGCATGCATATTTTGACGAATTTCTTATTAAGGTGAAAACAAAAGAATATTTTATCTTGATCTAGGATTTTTTTTTATATTTGGACTAGAAATGAGACAAAGCAACGCAAGAAAGGCATTTTTTGCGTTGTGATTATTTAATATCTGTTCTTTAATACTGTTAGATTCCCCAGAAAACCATCAAATAGAGCTATTTAAACCATCTTTTGAAACTATTCATGTCACACTATTTATCGCAGAAAAATAAAACATCGCAACATCAGATTTTTCCAATATCATGCAGCCCTAAGCTGTATACATCGCACCATCTCTCTATCGCTCTCTCAGGCATTTTCTCTTCTCACCTCTCTTTAACTCTACTTTCGTCTCTCCTCGCATCAACTCTTCCCGTTCTGTCTGTTTCCGCTCCTCTCTTGGATTTTGACCTTGATCTTCGATTCCAGAGATGTTGGGTGTTGCGTTTTCAAGCGCTGCTGCTAGTGCACATCCTTGTGTGGTTTGAGGAGTGATGGAAATGGAAACACGAAGTCTGAGCAGTGTAGGGAAACTAACTCCGACAGCTGAAGTTTGACAACTTTTTGTGATATTCATATATTACTTCGTGCACAGAAAAAGATGTGTTACGGTGACGTCTCTGGCAGGATGTGTTGGCTTTTCTTTGATAGGTATATTTGAATCAAAATGGCTGGCTGAGACTTTAAATAAAACTGTCTGAAGTCGGTCTATATTTAAATTTAAGGGATGAATGTTTTTATTATATTTCCCTGTTGAGAAATAGATCTCATCTAGCATGTATTATGATTTGATGTTAGTTGGGCAATTGGTGTTTGAAATGTTGGACAACTGGAATGTTTCTATGCATAATGAATGGTTTGTCAGCAATGTATTCGGTACAGTAAACAGTAAAAGCAAACAAATGAGGACAAGATAGTCTACACTGGAATTTTTTCTACATGATTGCGAAATGTGAAAGGCTCAGAATTGTTGTGTATATGTAATTTCTGTCAAATATATATGACCTTGTTTGATTTTGTTTCATTTTATTAGGTCGTTTACAAAAAATTGTACATTTTTAATTGTCCAAAATCTTTTTGGCACACTGTGTCCCTCTTAGTTTAGGCAAAACATGAATGCGTTGTGACAAGCTCAGTAAAAACACCTCATTAATATGTTTTATTCAGCACTTCAGAGTAGTTTGGTCTAATTAAAATGGGCAATTTCATGCAGTATGTTTGCGTGCTCCGTGTTTTGCTAGATTTAAGTGCTGATTGTTTGCTATTTTCAAGTCAGTCTCTTCAGATGATGCATTTCTCTATTTCAGTTTTTAATTATTTTATTCGATTTAAAAAAAAAATTTAAGCTCAGTTTTTAGTTAGTTTTCATTTGAATGTTTTAGTTGTAAATTCTCTGTAGTGTATGAGTGTGTATGGATGTTTCCCAGAGACATTGCAGCTGGAAGGGCATCCACTGCATAAACCATATGCTGGATAAGTTGATGGTTCATTCTGCAGTGGCGACCCCAGATTAATGAAGGGACTAAGCTGAAAAGAAAATGAATGAATAAATGAATGTACTGTGAAAATAAAAAAATAATTTAATTGCATTAACTAATCATTTGAAATATATAATTTCTCATAAGTAATATTATTCCTTTTCTACTCATCATAATACATTTTCTTTATTTGTTTATTTACATTTTTGTTTATTCTAAAACCTTTTTCTTTATTATAATCAAATTTTTAATTCTTTTACTTGAATCTTTTTTAATCATATTTTTTTTAACTAGTGGGCTCGCCTTTAGGCGAATTCCACTATTGTTATTATTATTTTACAATTCTTTAATTGAGTCAAATTTCTATTAGTTTCAAACTAATGTATGTTTATTGATTCATCTTAAACAACATAAAATCTGTATTGTGTAAATCTGTATCTTTATACTTATTCTGTAACTGTTTCCACAGTGTAGCTATATTCAGGTGGATTTTAAGGTCTCAAGTGTTATAATTAGAAATAGAATTCATTTGATTCTGTTTTTATTTTATTTTTTACAGTTTAGATCAGGGGTATCAAACTCAATTCCTGGAGGGCCGAAGCCCTGCACAGTTTAGTTCTAACCCAGCTCCAACACACTTACTTGTAGGTTTCAAACAAGCCTGAAGGACTCAATTAGTTTGATCAGTTGTGTTTAATTAGGGTTGGAACTAAACTGTGCAGGGCTTCGGCCCTCCAGGAATTGAGTTTGACACCCCTGATCTAAACTGTAAAAAATAAAATAAAAACAGAGTTTGACACCTGTGGTTTAGAACATTTTTTATTTATTTTTTTTTTTTACAAACCGGCACTTTCTGTACAGTGCTCAGCATATATACAGTGTACTGTACAGTACACCCCTCACAAATCTCTCTTTTGAATTCATATTTTTAATAGGAAGCTATACAGTATATTTGTGCATATACATTAAATTTGTCAGTACTGAAGCCAAATCTGGAGCTTCTCTAACAAAATACAATAACGATCCAAAAACTTGTACAGCTAAATTTATATGTTATAGAAAAATATTAAATACAAATTTAAAAAAGAGGAAAAATCAAGTGAAGCAAAATAGATAGATAGATAGATAAATAAATAAATAAATAAATAAAAAAGTGACAATTTAGCTGTAGGTTGTTATTTCCTTTTGCAATTTTTGCTTGAATTTAATTGTATTCTCTTTCAAGTTCTAAATGCGTTTGGTGACTAAAATATAATTTTAATAAATATATCTGTTTAACAAATCTGTTTTGTTTAAATGCACCAAAATACATTGCTGAGAAATATTCACTGAGAAATTGAGAAAAATGTTCAACAACAACAACAAAAAAAAAACAAGCCATGGTGTCCAAATAAAATATTATATTGAAAAAATAAAATTAACCTTCAAATATTACAGCTACTGTAATATGTCAACACGATCTATATTAAACCAATTTTTACAATTGAATAAAAAGCAGAAATGTAATGATATTCAAGCTAGTTGCTTTTGTAGATCGCTAGTCCACTCACATTTGTTAAGAGAGCTGTTTTCTAAGTGTATCTTCAGATTAACGCCTGTGCTCTGTGAAGGCATATGACAGCAGGAGTTGTCAGTTATTTAAAGAGGCATAGCTGTTGCTTTAGATGAGTTCGGATGTCATCATTAAGGATGAGGAAGTCTCCTATAGGTTTTCCAACACTCCTCTAATCCCCAGACCTGATTATACGCTCGGACCTGATTAAGAACCATAGATTGTGTTTATCTCACATTTATGTCTTTAAAGGACACAGCGCGCGAGCATCAATACAGATAATTGCTTTTAAGCAAATAAGCAATTGAACGATCATTCACGGGCCGAGCGGCTGAGCTGTCCAATCAAGATAGACCTCCGGATTGGCTCCATCTTAAACACCCATTTATATGCAGCCGGTACTGTTTACGTCAGGGCTTTTCTGCCATAGATTTGTGAATGCAGCTGTGCTTACTCATAAGGTCACAAAACACAGCATCGTCAAAGTGTTATTTAGTTCAATTAGCACTTCGTCTGCACTTTGGTAACAAAGGTTTGTTTCTGCCACCTTATTTTTAGCCCAGGATCTGTTGAATGGAGCTGCCGTGGTTTGTTTGACTGGAGCATTTTGCTGGTTGTGCTATCCGTCTCCACTTTTAGACGCCGACCGCTTCTCCTCACGTGTGCCAGACGACAGGCGGTACATTAGTGAAATGCCAACTCTTCATTTCTGCCTCGCTCCTCTGCACATCTGCACCGCTGCATAAATAGCGGCGTTATTATCTGAGCAGGAAATGAAATGCTCTGTACGCTAATGATTTGTTGTGTGATACTCGATGAGAAGTGTCTGGCGGTGGGGGTGAGATATGTGTTATTTTTTGAGAGTGAAAAATTAGGTTGAAGGTGATAGGCGAAGAGTCTTTAGTTGGGGAAGCTCAGATTTATTAGTGTTGGGGAGTGTTGTGTGAGAGTAGTTTGATTGTAGTTTTTTCATGATAGAACACTTTCAGAGGAGTACTATTTAATGCTATTTTGCTTATGCTTCTTGATTTGTTGCGGGTTTATAACCTATACATGCAACTTTAATGGGTCAGGTTCGGGGACCACAGGATTTCATCTCTAAAATTGTTGTTCTATTGGCCTTATCGAACATGGACCTTTAGCATGCACTGGGGCGGTTCTTTGACGAGTGTGACATGGCTGGAATGGGAATCAGCACATCCAACTCTGAGGCCATGGTGCTCTACCAGAAAAAGCTGATTTGCCATTTCCAGGTTGGAGGAAAGTCCTTACCCCAGGTGGAGGAGTTCAAGTATCTTGGGGTTTTGTTCAGAAGTGAGGGAATGATAGGCAAAGCTCTTGATTTTCCGTTTAATCTACAGTCCTACTCTCACCTATGGTCATGAGCTTTGGGTCATGAACGAAAGGACAAGATCTCAGATACAAGCGGCCAAAATTAGTTTCATTTGCAGGGTGGCAGGGCGCACCCTTATAGATAGGGTGAGGAGCTCTGTCACCTGGGAGGAGTTTGGAGTAGAGCCGCTGCTCCTCCACATCGAGAGAAGTCAGCTGAGGTGGCTTGGGCATCTGTTTTGGATGCTTCCTGGACGCCTACCTAGGGAGGTTTTCTAGGCATGTCCCACCGGGAAGAGGCCTCGTGGAAGTACCAGAACACGCTGGAGGGACTATGTCTCTTGGCTGGCCTGGGAGTGCCTCTGGATTCCCCTGGAGGAGCTGGAGGAAGTGTCTGGGGAGAGAGAAGTCTGGAGTTTTCTCCAAAGACTGCTGCCCCCACGATCTGGCCTTAATTAATGAATGAATAATTGATAGATAGATTATTGTAATTTGCTCATCTTTTTTATTCTCAATTTTGCTAAATTGAAACTTCAGAAAGGATAAATTAAAAAATGAAATCTACAAGCAAGGTATGGGTGTTGGATTTATTTAGTACATCCTTTATTAGGCCAGCGGAGTAGCCCAGAATATGAAAGCAAAGTGCTTACTTATGCATTTCATCACATAGAAATTGTAAATAAAATGTTTAATACAGCCTAATGGACAAAGACACTGATACAGTATGTGAGTTTGTGTGTGTGTGTGTGTGTGTGTGTGTGTGTGTGTGTGTGTGTGTGTGTGTGTGTGTGTGTGTGTGTGTGTGTCCGTAGCCAGCCTAGTAAAAACTGTGTTTCTTTTTTTCTCAAAAAGTTGACCTTTTTTCAGTTATTATGTTCTATTTAATTATAAGGTTTAAAAACTGCATTTTAGTGACATTTTAAGCACAATTTTTAGATGGATTTCGGATTGTCATCATAACCACACTTTTTGATGTACCAAAAACATTTGCTAAATATAAAGAATAGAGAAATATGAAAAAAAAACATATTTTTAGATACAAATTTATTACGTTGTATATCATTAGAAAAATTAAGTTAAAGTTAAAAAAAAAAAAAAAAAAAAAAACTTAAGCATATTGTCATTTATTGGGCAAATAACTGGCCAGCACATTCAACTGTCCTCAGTCAGAATTTGGCCAACTGACATACATTTTTTTAAACAATAATAATAATAATAATAATAATAATAATAATAATAATAATAATAATAATAATATTATTATTATTAATGTAGAGCTTGGTGATTTTTCAAGTCTCTTTTGTAAAAAAAAAAGTACATTTGGACAGTTCATGCCTAACAAAAACAGCCTAATTAATATTAAACTTAAAATGGGCCACTTTTGGTGCTTCAAACCATTTTATTGGTATTTATTTCCTTCAAGAATAAGGTTCAAGATTCAAATTAAAAGTTGAGCTACTTGTAGTGAAAGGTGACTTCACTTTCGTCATATTGTATTTTTTTTTTTTTTTTTTGCACGGCTGCATGTTGGACAAATTAAAAATAACTGTTTGCAGTCATTGGAAGCCTTCTTTGATGGGTCATTTTCACAGTTTATGAAGGGATAGCAGTCAAAATAAGAATAATGAGCTGATGTATGGGGCAAATTCTGGACCTTTTATCAGTGGGGGGTGGGTCTTTCGAACCACCTGAACCACCCTGGCTACGGGCCTATATATATAAACAATACAAGATAAGGCAGCCTTTGCTGCTGCAGCACAGCACGTGACTGCACGTGACAAGTTGCAGGATTATAATAGTTTTAATACCTCATTTATAATCATTGATTTATTTTATCTTTGCCATGATGACAGTAAATAATATTTTACTAGATATTTTTCAAGACGCTTTTATACAGCTTAAAGTGACATTTAAAGGCTTAACTAGGTTAATTAGGTTAACTGGGCAGATTTGGGTAATTAGGCAAGTTATTGTATAACGATGGTTTGTTCTGTAGACTATCGAAAAACAAATTTGGTATTCTCTAAAGTTCCTACAGTAGGAAGGCCCTGAACATTTACTAAAAACATATTTAGAAAACAATTTTTAAACACTTTGAATAAATGCATAAACCTTTAAGTAAAGATTACCGAGTCCTCTGCTTGAATAAGCAAGAACTTCTAATAAAAATCGGTTAATCTTGTTAGCACATAACACTCAAAATATTTTGTTAATCACCACTATTCATTTCAATATTATGTTAACATTCATAAATGGGTCTTATTTTTGTTTGATTAAATTTCTGTGCCTGGTAAATACTGATCCGATTGCAAAAATAATGAATATAATTCAATAGTCACAGTATACAAAACATATATACATTTTTAATTAATTTCTGTTTATTGCTTGACTACTTTTTAAATTGTGCAGCTTGATTTTATTTAATTTTATTTTAATGGAAATTAAGCTGCAGTAAAAGAGGATTCTCTTTAGGGCTGGTAGTTGGACGGCTGTTGGAGGCGCAGTCCGCCTGCTAGTGAGATGAGAGGAAGGGAATGGGAGATTTGATGTATGGTCTTATTCACCTCTCTCACTTTCTCTCCCACTCCCTCGTTCACCCTGTATTCCTTTGTCAGGAACTTGCAGTGTGATCGATTGATTTTAAATTTGTTCAGCCAGGGAATCAAAAGGACTCTTATGAAAAATAGATGTGTTGTTCTCACTTGATCAGATTAACGTGAAGTGAGTGCTGACAGAGAAAAATGAAAATAAGAACTGGACCACACAACTCATTCCTTCTGACACACATACACAAACAGCCGTTCTAAGATGCCTCACTGTTTAAGTGCTGTGGAAATTGCCGATGTGCTGGATTGCACTGGAGCTTAACATCTTGTTCCAGAATTGTTTATCAGAGTAGGATCAAAGAAAGGATGACTCTGACTCGCATTTACTAGACAAGATCCAGCCTCTTTTTGCTTATTTTCTCCAGGAGAACCTCCTGATGCGGATCCACTTCCACATCTCAGACGAGAGCAAGGAGGACATCTGTACGGCCAAACACTGCATCCCACATCAGAAGTTTGCTATGACACTTTTCGAACAGGTTGGTGCGGGATGCTGTCTGCGTTGTATTATTATGTTGTATATATTAAGTCTGACATTTGTATGTGTTTTTTCTCTCTTCCAGTGTGTTTGTAATAATTGTGGAGCCACATCAGATCCTCTCCCCTTCATTCAGATGGTGCACTATATCTCCACCACCTCTCTCTGGTAAGTGGAAGACCATGTTTTTACACCAACAAAACTTTTCAATATGGACATTTTTGCACTTGGAAAGTAATTAGATCTCTTTCTAATCCTACTTAGATGACTTTCTGAGTATTCTTTTTATACATAGCTGTTTTCTAAGTAGATATAGTGAAAAATTGTTCAAGAAATCAATTCTGAAATTTAAAAATGAAAAGTTATTCTCTCTGGAATTGATTCCGTGTTTAGTTTTTACCAACAGATGGGGCTTTAGGGTAGCTTTTACCCATACACTCAAACGCAACATAGGTTGATTTTGAAAACATAGCCCTATATATGTTTCAGCAGATCACGAATTTGTAGCCATAAGTATGTATAGCTGCATTTATTTTTTAAAATGAACACTATGGGGCAGTATGATGCTTTTCCTTTTCACGCTTACCAGCTGACAGCTTCCCTCTGTATGGATGACTTTCCCGTTGTTACTAGTTTGTCCAGTTAGCTTGACATGTACGTCTGTGGACACATCAGCTGTGGCACAGATTGGAGTTGACCATGATGACATTGTTCGAGTTCGGTGAAAACGGTTCCAGAAAGCTCGTAAGACAAAAACAGAAGCCAAAAAATAAAATAAACAAGTAGAAAACAGGGTGAGAATGTGGTAAAATCTGAAAATGGTATAAAAATCTGGCAAGAGCTTTTCCTTTTCTGGATTTTTTTTTAATTGTCGTTTGAGTTTAGGGAAGTGGTGGGTGAGTGGGTCAATCTGTGTTTTTTAAAATACTATTGGTTGGGTTTAGGGAAGGAGGAGGGCGGGTCAGTTGGTCAGTCATTCAGTCAGTCAACAGCGGCCTCTGGTGGATTCACGCAAGAACAGCAGGCATGAATGGCACTCGCGAGAGAAATTTGAGATTTCAAAATGGCCTCTGGTAGATTCGTGAAAACAAAAACTGCAAAAAAAATGTAGCTCCTGGGATGTATTTTGCGGTCTTCAGAAATGTATATAAAGGTACGTTTTCAGAATGAGCCCTGGGTCAAATGCTCATGAGGAAGAGTGCTTGTAGGTTTATGTCACAACTTTAAGACATCTCACTATGAACGCACTTGAAATTCGCTTAAATGTTTTGCAACATTTCATTATGATTAGTTTAGGTATAAGTGGTATTCGTACGGAGTTGAATGCAAGCAGAGTATGGCTGTTTGTAAAGCACAACGGTCCATGTTGTGGTCATATTTCAGCTGAACCACAATAGAGCTTATTTTGAAGCAGAAAGAGATCTTTTCAGGATCTTGTCTGTTTGACAAGATCTTGACAACTTTCACTTAAGGTCTGCACCCAGGTTCTATGATGTCAAAGTACAGTATGTTTAGCTAGTGTAAACAATGTCTACTGGACTCAGGTGTACAACCACGAACTGTACCCGAGTCCTCCTGAAATAGTTTGTCTGGGGTACGGTATGAGCAAAGTTTCATCTGGTTCACTTCTGATACAAATGCAATTGTACCAAAAAACTGAAGTGAACCACCACCTGTACAAAAAACTTTAGTTTTCATAAAGATCATTCGTGTGTGTATGTCTGTGTATTACCTAATGTCACCTTGGCGACAAGCGGGACTTACCCAGTGCAAACACAATAATATCTACTTGACACCTCCATAAACAACTTCTGCAGACATCATGATATGTAATATTTTTGCTGCAGATAGACGCAAGTTTCCCAGAGATGGGTTGCGGCTGGAAGGGCATCCACTGCGTAAAAAAACTTGCTGGAAAAGTTGGCGGTTCATTCTGCTGTGGCGACCCATGATTAACAAGAAAATGAATGAATGAATAGACGCAAGTCGCTCTCTGTATGTTACCAAAACCAAAAGATTCAGTAAAAGCAGAACAACTGTAAATGTTGCAAACATCTTACCATTTTGATGCCTTGACTTTCGTGGCCATCACCTAGCAACAGCTGTACACATAACAGCAGCTTGATGATGAAAGCATTACTGGTGTTAAGCAGGAGAAAAGACAGTGTGAACTCAAACCAGCTAAGAAGGTGGCAAGGAAACAATCAAACTTGGGTTCGGACAAGGAATCGAACCAAGTATGCAAGCACCCTCAAACAAACTGCTTTGATAAAGCAATCACTCCATTTTAATCTTGCAAAGTAAACTTTAGTTTTATTTAAACTTGCAAAGTATGAATCAATCTACCTGAAAGCTACACACAGCTCAATATTTTACTTAAGAGCCCTGTGAAAATAACACCAATAACAACCTTCAGTTTACACCTCAGATTTTGAGCCATTTTGCCACTTGCACTTAGCTGTGTTTTGGTTCACTTCGCCTCATGTTGCAAAAATGATGTACACTCTTGCAGTTGAGGGTGATCTATTGGGACTTGGTGGGGTGTATGCCATTTAGCACTGGAAACGAACAAGTGTGGCTCTTTTGTCACTTTGATGTTGAGTGAGGGATTCGATTTACACATCAGACTGGGAACTGAAGGTAAGGAAGCCTTCCAGAGTGTTTATCGGATAAGTGAGCCACCAGCTCCAGCTGAATGCTAACGCCGACCTGCTGGGCTGGAATGAGGCTCTATATCATGGGTTATTAGCTGTCATCGTACATATCAGACCCGTGAGAGCCATCTGCTAGAGCTATGCACAGGAAACGTGCCCTTCGCAAACCCCTCCCTTACGGCCCGTTTCACTCTCTTTAGTGTTATACACACTGGCAACCTTCATCTGCCATATTTTTTTTTTACGTCTTTTCCTCTATTTATCCCCTATATCCTCATGCATAAATCTCACATACATGCGCGTTCACCTACACTTTTCACTTGCTGTAAATGGTCTGACCTGCCGTATTTCATTTTGAGAGCTCTACAACCCATCTGATCTTTGGACCATGATAAGATCATTTCTCCTGTGAGGAAGTGGACCACTGAGGACACAGACAGGACATTAACCATCACTCCCGGTGAAATCGTATTCCAGGTCCCTTCATTATGCCCACTCTATAGGCTATCAAAAAAAAAAAAGCATCTTAGCCATCTGAGGTTTCCATGATTGCGCTTTCTTATTTTATTATGCACTATCAAATAAGAGCAACTAATGTGCCATCTGTCCGACGGTATGTGCACATAATTTTTTTATGAATAATTGCACAGAAAGGTCACATATTGAAGCAAACACACATACACACACATTTGTACAGCTATCTTTATGGGGACGTACCATAGATGTAATGATTGTTATACAATCTAAATTTAGTTCTAATTTTCAGCAAAAGAATAAATGAACAATAAAAATGAAGTGTGGTCAAAAACCTGAGTTATATCCAAATACACATGCTGTGCCCCATATGGTCTAAAACCTGACAGGTGGGCAAATCTAAGCTTGTTTTTAATAAAACAAATATAAATATGGATATAATAAATAATACTGCTAATAATGATAACATTATGCAAAAGCAAATTGTTATGAATGAACTAAAAAAGCCTCCGAAGATGAAGAAGGCATGAAGGCAGTGGTTTTTAAATTTATGTAGGCTAGAAAATAATATGTTTTGTAATATTTTAATCCTTTATATTTATATCATTTATATATATATATATATATATATATATATATATATATATCCTTATTATATCCTTTATATATCCTTAATATTTTAATTATTTTTCATTTGTAAAAATATTTGCGTTTTGCTTTACATCTTGTGTGTATTAAGCAGTGTGTAAGCGAGGCGCATTACTAACGTGCTCAGCACTTGACTTTAGACGGGCTTTGTTTTGGTCTATCGAAAAATCTATTATAGTTTCTCAAAATAGCAACGCGCCAGCAATGCACCTCAGAACGCCTTCCTTTTTAGACCAGAACGCCTATGGTCGCACATATGAGCGCAAATGCATTTGCTATTTAAACAACGTGACTCTTGCGACTCTTGCGCCAAGCTGAAACTAGCAAACAACAATTGTGTCGCGCCTTGCGCCACATTCTGCCATGTGTATGATAGGGCTCTCAGAGTTTAACTCTGCTGATAAGACATCATTTGTCTATTGTGTTTCAGGTTATGATTGTAGCCTCAGTGTGATGAATTCTATTGACACAATTTTGCATCATTCAGTAATTTATTTCCTTTAAATAGTTTTAAATGGTTGAGGATTGACTACATCTTATTCCATATCTTATCTCATGAGAATGCAGGTCAGGGTGTTCATTGATTTTTCTCAACATAAATTATGCAAAGTTGGATTTTAGAACCCCATGAAGCCATTCAATGATCTGTTCAGACAGTATTAGGACTAAGGAAAAAGGTAATATTTAAAATACCCCTCACTGATTTCAATATCAGACATAAAAGTCAACCTCCAGATCTGAAAATGGTAATTGGAGTCTCCTGCAGATGCAAAGTTTACACTATGGTTTGGTAAATTCTTCTCAACCTTTAGCATTTTAACACAGCTTGTTGTCTTTGTTCTGCACACACACATAGGCAGAGTCTCTATCATATCTTATGGGCACACACATCCTCAATTCGCAGTAAATTGTGAGCATTGCCACATGGCCGTATGGCAGTAAATGATAGTACAATGTGTTCCTTCACTCCTAGTGGATGCGTATATCCCGTACAGCCTTGGAAAATCACACAAAATGAACACACACTCTCAGCGGGGAGCCACGTCTACACACACACACAAAAACACACACACACACACACATCAGAAAACAAAGACTAGGGCAATATGCTCAAAATCCTAACTCAGTGTTTTTTATCTAGAAACAAAGCTGCTAAACCCGGCTCACACATATTGCAGAAAACAATGAAACTCCTAGGTTTTAGACACTGGAATGGATCTGATTTTTTTTGTAACATCATGCAGTTTGTAACTCATCCATAAATTGTGCAGATAGTTCATATTAACATCAAGTGTCACTCTCCAAATGATGATATTCATAAGATTTATGATGGTGGTGGCTGATATAGATGGATGGATATGCAGGGAACATGTCAGAAAATAAAAAAATGATGCCAGCCACCCCCTTAACAGCGTTGAATATGATGAGCTGTAATCAGAGACTATAAACACAGAATGCTAAACAAAGTGAAGAGCAATTCAAGGTCAAAGTGGCTTATATAATGATTTTTTGTATATTACCTGCATAATTACATACATAATGTAGCATTGGTTAATCCATCTGCATAAACCTGCCTTAGTTTGTAACAGATTTGCGCTATGTCAGCGTATTGTTTTCATTGGCTGAATGTGAAAACATCCAGTTCAACATTGGTTCGAGTTTGGTTCATGTTGTTGTCACGTTGAGATGATGCTGTTTTCTGAGCTGCACTTTGCATGCACTTCAATAGAATAATTATACTAATAGCCATTATAATATCAACATTCACTTTAAGTGGTCGACCAGTAACATCAGACTGAGCCATCTGACCAATCAGAACAGAGTAGGTGCTTGAAAAGGGAGATTTAGAGTAAAGATGTTTGAACTGCAACGTTTTTAGAAAAAAAAAAAAGAAATGAAACTTGAATGAATGTAAAACTAATGTAGGAGTCAGTATGTTTGCATTTAAAAACAACATATTAAACATTTCAGTAAAGCACTCTGAATAATGCTGAAAGCAAGTCAGCGAGAAAAGGGTAGGCTTGTCTGTTTGATCTAAATTAGTGTCTGTGTATAGGTTGTATTTAGCCTCGAAGGCTCTGTCTTGGCACATTTCCTCCACACAGACATGCTGACAGACGCTTCATGTGTGCAGATATGCTGCATGTCAAATGGATGCTATCACGCTTTGCTTAAGGAAACAGTAGCCAGTAAAGTACGCAGATTTCTGTGCAAGCCTGCGGCTTTTGTCCTGATGGAGACCATGTGGAAATGGAACGAAAAACAAGAGCTGCTACATTAGTTTCTGATGTCTTCCAGGGAAAAGTAAGCTAGTGATGGTATTTAACATTCATGTAGACTTAAGGGTGCAGCTGAATAAAATGTGTAAATACTTAGTAATATACTTTCCATTAAAGTTCACCTTTAAAGAGATCCTATTGTTCACAAGATGTAATATAATTCTTAGAAATCTTTGCAGTTTCAGCTCAAAATGCCTCTCAAATCATTCTAAAACTTGATAAGTTCAGATCACATAAGCATTTGTGGAAACAGCACTCAAAATATTTAATTAAACTTAGGTAAGCATTAAGTTAGTGCAAGTTTATTTATTAGATTTTTTTTTAAACTAAACTAATGTAAATGAGCTGCTTCTCCCAACCACCATTAAAGAAAAGGGTCATCACAGCACCCACAATTGCTACTTACCTGTAGTCAGGGGGTTCAGGTGGTTCGAAAGACCCACCCCTCACTGACAAAGGTCCGGAATTTGTCCCAAACATGAGCTAATTTGTCCTATTTTGACTGCTATGCAATCATAAATAGTAAAAATAAACCATCAAAAAAAGGTTTTAAGACCAAGCAGAATCCTCTGTTGGCTGTGGCTTCAGTGTGACTTCAACTATCAGTTTTAGCCAATGCAAACAAGTATTTTTCATGAGATCAACATCCATTGTTGTTATCCATGAATTTTCAAATATACTTTTTTTGGTTATGATACCATCCGACAGTCTATTTCAGCTAAAATAGTGCTTAAAACGTCACTAAAACGCAGTTCATAACTATCATAATTCAATAGTAACCTTAATGAGGCTTATAACTGCAAAAAGGTCCACTTTTTGAGAAAAAAAAAAAGATCCACCCGGTTTCACCTGGCTGGCTACGGGCCTGTTTGTGATGTTTGTGAATTGTATTCAAATTCTATAAAACATACCTTTGAAATGATCAAAAGTTCAGATTCAGATGTAGTTTTAATTTATTTATAATTCTGCATCGAGTGCATGCGGTTGGTCCGGCATAGCCTTTGCACAGACTCATACCCTTTGTTGTACTTTAACGCAGATCCTGATGCGCACCTTTTAAAAAATGTACTGGAACTACTCTACACATTGCGACAGCACAGAGTGTAAGATCTATGATTGGCCGAGAGGAGAGGGAATGGAACGAGGCCAATGGTGGGAGTGTTTAACAAGTCTCAAGTCCTGTGGAGCAGCTCTAGATTTACTTTTGTTTTGTGTTTATTTTATGAGCAAATTTATTGAGTGTTCGCCAGTTCCTACCGTTTTCTTCCCAGAATGAGTGTGAGTTTAAACTACTGTCTCATTTTTGTTGTAAACTCAAAACACTGGCAAAGACACTTGACACAGTGGAACACAGAAATATAGAGCACATTATTTATCAAAATTTGATGTAGCATACAGTAAAACTGAATAACCTATAAAAAAGTGAATTGCTGTGCAGGAATTTAATTGAAAGTAACTGAAATAATTTATGGTCATTCACTGTATAAATTAAGGAAACTTACTGTTAATCATATAGCATAATTTTACAGTAGCATTTTCTACCAACAAATAATTGCCTTATTTTTTTAAAAGTTTTTAGTTAGTCTGTGGGGTAACAACAAGGAAAAAATCAGCATGAGGTGAAACTCCTGACATATGTTTTTTTTTTTGAGTGTGAGACATGAAATATGTGCATAGATAGCCAGCTATTAAACAATGTGTTGATCAAGCATTAAACTAATGTCTTTTTTGTACAAAGAAACATAAGGTTATGTCACAAGTGCACAAGTTTACATAAATATGTTGGTTATTATATTATGTTGATGAATGTAAACAGTTAATGAAGAAATCTAATAAACAGTGTAAACATATTAGATCTGTGAAATCAGCTTTGTCAGAATAACTTAAATTCTGGATACTGCGATGTGTTCATTCCCAAGAGAAAATCAAGACTACAATCAAGAATTTTGAGAGAATTTAGAAACAGCACTTACTGAAATCAAGAATTACTCCCTTAGGACTGAAACTTCATGCTTTGTAACTTTGCAGATCCTTTTCTTGCTATAGGAAGCCGAAATGTATATTGTGGGTAAAACTGTGTGTATAATACTGTCAGTGTTGTTAATACTGGTGCTTGAGGACACGTCTGTCTCTTATTCTCTCTGCTGCAGTAACCAAGCGGTGCGAATGCTGGAGTGTAAAGAGAAGCCCACCCCTGACATGTTTGGAGAGCTTCTCCGCAACGCCAGCACCATGGGTGACCTGCGCAACTGCCCGGTGAGTTGTCTGTTGTCTTTGCTCAGCAACTCAATATAATCTTTATAACTCTATTTTTTAGTTTCACTGTGTTTGGTATAAAGCATGTGAGTGGGTCAGTTGGTGATAAACACGTGAAAAGGAGGCAGCATTATAAACACTGTAGTGACTGGCTTTCTCTTGAGACTATTTACTTTTATTAGACAAACAAACAAACAAAATATGGGCGGCATGGTGGCTTAGTGACTAGCTCCATCACCTCACAGCAAGAAGTTCGCTAGTTGGAGTCCCGGCATTTCTGTATGGATTTTGCATGTTCTTCCTGTGTTCGCTTGGGTTTCCCATGGGTATGAATCCGAGAGTATATGGGTGTTATCAGTACTGAGTTTCAGCTGGAAGGGTATCCGCTGTGTAAAAAATATGCTAAGATAGTTGGCAGTTCATTCCACATATCAGGCGACCCCTGATAAATAAGGGACTAAGCCAAAGGAAAATGAATGAATGATAGAAAAAAAATCTGATTGCTAGAGCAAAGACCCTGTGGACTAGGGGTGACACTTTCCTGTATTGTTCACTAAAAAACTAATTTAGTGAATTATTTACAAGCTATCCAAATTACATTTTACTTTAGTAAAAAAAAAGAAAGATATTTTTTGTTGCTATTTTGGTCCTTTGCTATTTTTAAAATGCAAACTAAATGCTTACAGCACTTTGAGAGTTAAAAAAAAGAACCATTAAGGTCTCATAAAAAAAAAAAAAGATAATTTGTGCAAGTCAATTATCCATAAAGGATAACCACCCAAAGATGGCCCATTTACATTTTTAGGGAAATAATCCCTTTTTAAACTGAATGAATTGATTATGTTCTTCAAAGTAGAAGTGTTTGTTTTTGCGATTGTTTTAGAACTTCCACTTCAGCAGCCTATAGGAGAAATGATCAGAATAATAAATTGCAGAAAACAATCAAATTACTTGCTCCACAAACTGTTTGGATGACTATACACTACAGACAAAGCAGAATCATTTAAAAAGAAAATATCAGTTTGTAACATCAAGCAGCGGAGCGAGCTGTTTTTAATGTCCAATAATGTATGGAAGTGAATGAGACCGAAAGTCTCGAGACGAAAAGATTCAAATGGCTGCGCCAGCTCATACACGAAGAATAAGGTGAATAGGATATCAGCATAAATAGAACAATTAATAAACAATAAATTATAAAATGTTTAGATTTTAAATTTTAATTTACTTTTAAAACATTCTGAATGAAATAGTAATAATAATAATTATAACAATTCATTTTTTGTTCCAATTAGTTTTTTCTGCTTTTTTATGTGCCAGCCCAGCTCCATGAAGCAAAATGTTCTGTAGAAATGTTTCAATATTTAATTATTTAGCTTTTTTATTTGATTGCATTTTAAAACATGAATGAAATAAAAAGTTTTATTATCAGTTTATTTTATTATTTTGAGTCAGTATTTTATTTTACATATACATTTTTTATTGGTTAAATGAATTAAAAATATTTAATTTTCTTGATCAGTCAATTTAAAACCTTATATGTTCTTTTTAACTTTTTTAAAAATATACCAAACTATACTATATACTAAAATATAATTATTTTTTCTTTGGCTTAGTCCCTTTGTTCATCTGGGGTTGCCACAGCGGAATGAACCGCCAACCTATCCAACATATGTTTTACACACCCATACACACTTATTCACACACAAACACTGCAGCCAATTTAGTTTATTCAATTCACCTATAGTGAATGTCTTTGGACTGTGTGGAAAACTGGAGCACTTTGAGGAAACCCAGGTGAACACGGGGAGAACATGCAAACTCCACACAGAAATGCCAACTGACCCGGCTGGGACTCAAGCCAGCGACCTTTTGCTGTGAGACAACAGTGCTAACCACTGCGCCTCTCTCCACAGAATATGTGATATGGTCCCAGAACATCCTAATATTCACCATCCAAATTTAAATCCAAGTTACACTGGACGAAATCAAGTGATGCCTACGTTATTTCAATAATGTCACTTTCTTACATTTGAATTTAAATTTTGCTCATTTACTTGATTTTCAGTCGACTGATTCCACCGCAATGATTTTTAAGCCACCCAGACACTCTCATTTAAGCTCTGCTGCTCACGTGGAAGCATAAAGACCGTCTGTTTTTCACCCGAGAGAGAGTCTTTTGCTCACTGCTCTTCTTCTCTCTGTAGACGGCAGGCCCCCATCACAAACACACACACACACACACACACATGCATGCAGTCGTGCACTATTACACACCAGCTGCTGATCAGCTCTTACCACACACTGCGCTCCTTCACCCCGCCACAGGAGGCATACGATTTCATCATCCGAACACACTGCTGCATCATCCAGTGCTCTTCCCAAGAAACCCATATCAGCTTTGGATTAAATTCAATTCAAGTCTATTTGTATAGATCTTTTTGTGATACATATCATTTCAGAGCAGCTTTACACAACAAATGTTTCTAATTTTCAATTAAGGGTAATGTGGTTATTATTAGAGGTTACTGTGTCATAGCATTATCCGCATTGCAGAATTGTACTGTTTTAGGATGATACAATCAAGCAGTAGGTACATGCAGCATTTAAGCAAGATGAAGATGGTTATTTTCACCATTGTATTCTGTGATCATGATTACAATGTAAGGACCTTTGCAAGTTGATTTAGTGTTGGCATCGTTATCTCTTGTTATGTCAGGATGGGTATCCTGAGGTAAAAATAGAAAGCAAATAGGATAGGATAATTAGTGTAGCTGTTGTTCATGACATTTCAAGCAAACATAAACAGTTATTTGGTTAAATATGGCTGTAGTATGGAGGAATAATATGCATTTTATGAAAGTTAGACCTTGAGATGCATCTTTACTTAAGGTTTAGAGGGCTAGTTTACCCAAAAATGATTAATTACTCTTATTTTATGCGATGAAATTAGATGAAATCCTAGAGCTCTTTCATCCTCCATAGACGGCAACAGTCATAAGACGTCAAGAAAAACTTTAGTGGTTCAACTGTGATCATATGGAGCACCAAGAGCAATTTTATGGACCAAAAAACCCAATTAATTAAAAAAAACACAGTAGTAACATAATTAAAAAATTGTAACCCTTTAAAGTTGTACAGAATGTGTGTTTCCATATGATGCTTAAAATTGTGAATTGAAGATATGCTTAATGAAAATGCTTGGATTGTCAAAAAATGCCCATTTGTTCATAAAATATTTGCATTTACATAAGGTGGCTTTTCAGGCAATTTGAAAATGTAAACTTTCAGAAAATGGTTTTAAATTCATTTATGTATTAACAGGTTTACATGGCATATATAAAAAGTCATAAGATCATTCTTAAAAGATAAGTATCTCTGCACCAAAGATGAGACTTCCTTCATCAAACTTCTTCCTTAAACATAAGACAAATTAAAAATAATTTACAGAAATATTTCAAGAGGGCAGCACAGTGAAACCGTGGGTAACACAATTGCCTCACAACAAGAAGGTTGCTGGTTTGAGCCTCGGCTGTGTTAGTTTGCATTTCTGTGTGGAGTTTTTGTTTTTTTTGTTTTTTGTGTTTGTGTGGGTTTCCTCCGGGTGCTCCGGTTTCCTCCACAAGTCCAAAGACATGTGCTATAGGTGAATTGGGTAAATTAAAATGGCCATAGTATATGTGTGTGTGAATGAGATTGTATGGGTCTTTGCCAGTGATGGGTTGCAGCTGGTAGGGCATTCGCTGTGTAAAACAAATGCTGAATAAGTTGGTGGTTCATTGCACTGTGGCGACCCCTGATTAATAAATGGGCTAAGCTGAAAAGAAAATGAAAAATATAATATCTTAAGAATCCGAGCAATAGTTGGAAGCAGACATGAAGGAGAAAAGCAAAACCACATTTGTGGCCTCTCACAAGTACAGGGCGCTTGCCTTGCTATCAATGCCTGGTTAATGTTACCCATGTCTTTTTGCTGTAAATTTTTACGGACATTTTAAAAATACCACAAACATTTTGTGCAAATTTATAATGAAATTCCTGGCATGTCTGAACTCAAAAATGCTCTTCCTCTTTTGTGACCTTTGCAAAAGATTTTCATCCATGCCTTCATTTTTTTAATGATTTTGTAAACATTCATTTTAATATACAATTGATAAAAAAGCATTTTGGTTTGATTTTTAAAATGTAGTTAAATGAAATTGTAGTTGAATTATGATTATAATGATTATTTTTTGTTCCAATTGTTTTTAAACAATGCCAGCCCAGCTCCCGAGTCAAATTGTTCTGTAGAAATATTTTAATATTTAAATATTTTATTTGATTTTGTTTTAAAACATTTATTTTCTTTTTGGGTTAGTTCCTTTATCACTCAGTGATCGCCACAGCGGAATGAACTGCCATTTATTTTAAAACATTAAATAAATAAATAGCTTAAAATATCAGGTTTTTAAAATAATTTTAGCCATTTTTCTCCATTTATGTGCTTTTATATTGTTTAAATTAATTAAATAATTTTACAACATGGATGTCTTGCTATCAATGCTTGGTTAATGGAAACACTGTTCTTTTGCAATTGTTTTTTATTGACATTTTAATAATACCAGAAAACAATTTATGCAGATTTGTAATGGAAAATTTCCTAACATGTCCGAGCTCTGCAAATTTTCAGCAAGGCTATTCTAGAACATAATTTATTATTTATATCTTATGGTATATAAGCAATGGATTTCCTTTTGCTGTCCTAAGTTTTCCTACATTTTCAGTGTTTTTCTGACTCTGGAAGTTCCTGAAATGGCTCTATTGAAATGCAACTGGGATCCCGGTGTTCTGCAACATCTCTGCTCTTTAGTTGCTTAGTGGCCTGGCCCTGAAAGCATGTGTTTGTCTGGATTGCCAGCACTTGGCAGTGCAGACCACAGAGCCGAGGCGAACAATAAACTCTAATGGGGCACTGTGTGTTTGTCCCAAAGCTCATCGCTTCTGGCTGTTCATTGGCTGTGTATTTGTCTGCGATGGAGTGATTGAGGCAATGAGAGAGAGAGAGTGAGAGAAAGAGAGAGAGAGAGAGAGAGCTGGGATCTTTGTCTAATTCCTTCCTGCTCAGGTCTGGTGCCAGCCTTGTGCCCACTGCACAAAAGCAGTGCCCGGCTAGCTTTATTTGTGTTAAGGGAAGAGGTCAAGCTGGCAGTGGTGCCCGTCTCCATGCCTGTTTCCGTGTGTGTCTGCCAAAGCTCTCGGCGGAGGGCGGTGACTCAAAGAGCACAGCTAGAACATTGGGTGCTGAACAGAAGGCCCTGCTGGACTGCGCTGCCCCGTTTGAAGAGCTCCTTTCATCTCTACTTCACCTTTTTCTTTGCCTCTCTCTCATACACACAAGCACATCTGATTGAGATTAGAACTGTGTGATATATGGACATCAAATTGATAGCGCAAAATGGAGGCGTGGAGTTGTCCGATTGTGCAGGCTGCAGTTTGAGTAAGTGAACACAGTATAGTGTTTATGGTGTGGGTAGTTCTTGATGCAGTGTTTAAGAGTTTCTGAACAGCTTGGCTCTTTTACTACACATTGTGTGAAAACACAGTGACTTCAGTGACTTAAAAATACAGTTTGAAATTTATGAACTTAATAAGAAGTTAGACGTCATAGTGGCACCATGGGTTGCACGATCGCCTCACAGCAAGAAGGTCACTGGTTCAAGCCTAGGTCAGTTGGCATTTCTGTGTGGAGTTTGCATGGGTTTCCACCGGGTGATCCGGTTTCCCCCAGTCCAAAGACATGTGGTACAGGTGAATTGGGTAAGCTAAATTGTCCATAGTGTATGTGTGTGAATGAGTATGTATGGATGTTTCCCAGTGATACGTTGCAGCTGGAAGGGCATCCGCTGCATAAAACACATGCTAAATAAGTTAGCGGTAAGACACTAAGCTGAAAAGAAAATGAATGAATAAACAATAGTGAACCCAAGTACTGTATGCTTTTGGGAGAAACCTGTATTAAATAGGCCTGTATACTGTATATGTGTGTGTGTGTATGTATGGAATGTGTGTGTATACTGTACATGCATGAATGTAGGCATTTCATTTGAATTTAGTAAAATGTAGTAGTTTAGTAGTTTTATAATATCAAAATATACTCTACATTACAGAGAAGCTAAATGCTGCATTGATAGTTCTTGTCCCCCCCCCCCTCAGTATCATGAATTTTGATCTCTTGATTTCAGAGTAACTGTGGTGAGATGCTGCGGATTCGGCGAGTTCTAATGAACTGCCCGGAGATCATCAGCATCGGTCTTGTTTGGGATTCAGATCACTCTGATCTGGCTGAAGATGTCATTCACAGCCTGGGCACATGCCTACGCTTGGGTGATGTAAGACTCCTGCACACACAAACAACACACACTGCTCTTTGTCTGTCTGTCTGTGTCTCTTCAGCGCAGTAACCTTGAGCCTTGCGCACAGTGCAGGACAAGAGCAGGAAACACACTGTACTCTTTGTCACATTCAATATCTCCACGGCTTCGCTAGTGCAACTGCTTTCTCACAAGATGTATGCCAGGGCTGTGTGCCATTCTTAATGCAGTCTGTGTTATTTTTAGCTTTCGTGTATTTCTTGAACTGATAAAGCCCCCAGAATGAACAGTTTAAATAAAGTAAAAAATGAAATAAAAAATACAATAAAAAATATCATTGCTAATTTGTTCAAGACAACTTAACACATTGTAATTACTAATATATTAATATTATGCATTTAGCATACACTTTCAGAAAAATGGTACAATGTTGTACCAAAGAAGGTGCAAACCCTTGTCACTGGGGCAGTACCTTTTTATGGAACAGAATTGTACCTTAAGACAAGGAAACAAATTTGTACCATTGGAGTTTGTACCTTTAAGGACATGATTTGTATCATGTGAAACCAAAATGTACCTTTGCTTTTTAAAAACCTGGAGATACAATATTGTACCGTCATCAAAGGTACAAATCTGATCCATGAAGGTACCACTACAGTGACAAGACCCTTTGTACCTTAACAGTGTCAAATGTGTTCCTTCAAGAACTATTCAAGGGCATTTTGCTACTGTTGATCCAAAATGTGTTCATTTATTTTCAGTAAATATAAAACATCAAATACAGTTAAACATTTTTTAAAGTTTCTTATTGTGTAAATGCACCTTTTTCATTTACAATAGGAAAAATACTCATATAAATAAATTAAAAGATCTCTTTTTTGCTAAACATTTCACAACACTTTTCACAAAATTGTTACAGAAAAACATTTTCACATGTACAATATAAAACATTTTTTTTTTGCTATAGTGTTCACACAATACCTTTTGTAATCGCTTAAAAGTTAATTTAATTTACTTAATTTTAAAATAGAACTAGAATTATGCAAAAGATTTGCATAATGTTTGATTTGTTTTACAATAGTAAAATGTCTGCATGAACACTTTGCATATGCTGGACTTTTACCAGCTAACGTACATAGTGGAAAGCAAACGTGTGGATATCAATAATGAAAATGTATGCTCACCAAATCTTTATTAAAATGCCCTAAATGTTTAGTTTACAATACATACACTCAAAAATAAAGGTCACGGGGCTGGTACCTTTTCAAAAGGTACAAATTTGTCCATAAAAGGTCCATATTAATACCTGAAGGGTACATATTAGCACATTAAAAGTACAAAAGGGTTCCTCTTAAAATTTGTAGGTACTAATATATACATTTGAGGTACCAATATGTACCTTTTAAGTACAAACATGTACATTACCTTCTGAAAAGGCACAACTCGGTGACAACTCGCATACCTTTATTTCTGAGAGTGTATAATTTTGTTTTACCAGTTGTCTTGTTTAATAGAACCTAATAGTTCAAGTCTATGAGTTTCTATATACTTTTTAATATTGATTCATGTTTTAATATGAAAATTATTCATAAAATCACTTTGCCTTTACAGTAATATTTATTTTTATAGATATTGTAATAAAGAAGTTGTCCAACACTTATGTACCTTTTTATGAGAACAATTGTGTACCTTCATTTTATTTGTACCATAAAAGGTACAGAACAGTATCAAAAGAGATCTTTTTTGTACCATATAAGGTACAACTTTTACAAAGGTACAAAAATGTTCATTAAGGAACATTATTTGTACAGCTGTGTACCTTTTTTTTTGAGAGTGTACAAGGTGTTTTCAGAAACATTAGGCAATTTAAATTAGTTTATATTGGTATAAAAAAGAATAATCATATGTTCATTATCAAATTTTTTTATTTTTTGCTTTATCTCTTTTCTAGACCAAATATCTAAAAAAAACTCAGATCAAGTAAAGATATTGTTTTATTTTTAACTTTAGAAGAAACAAATTAAGAGTTTTTCCTTAAAACTTTACTTAAAAGTAAAATATTCTTGTTTTCGCTTTGAAACTTTCTAATCCAAATTGTAGACATTTGGATTAGAAACAAGATAAAAATTGTGAGAAAACCTTCTATAAATCTTATAAATACAGTAATTAAATACAATTCTGTAGCTCCTGGTAAACCATAATTCAGACCCATAATTGTATGTCTTGCCATGTGACTACTGCGGATGCACAAACTGCGATATAGATGCTGAAATGTTATATTGTGCAGCCCATAAATCTCTCTGTCTGTTTGTTTATCCACACACCCATCAAATAATTAAAAGCGTTTAAAATAAAAAAGTAATACAGTACATTTGTATTTGATCCATCTGAAAATACTAATGTTGTGTGTATCCAAGCAATAAAAGACTTTCTATAGTCATATACAGTAATACATTCACTATACAAATTATCACTCATTTATGCATAATATTAGTACATTTATTCTTCACAATTTAAAATTGTTCATGAAATTACACTAACAAAAGACATATCTTGTGTTAAATGAGATATGAGTGCGTGTAAATTTAATAATTCCATTCAACTCAAATCTTTTAAAGTGTTGCATTTTAAAAACTTTTCATTCAAATTCACAATCATAAAGTAAAAGTAAGTGTATTTTTTAACCCGAATTGCTTAGAGATTCCCTCAGATGCAGAATACAGTTACTGTACCTGTTGCTAACTGAAACATATTGCAAATAGCAGACTGTAAATGTGCCCGCTCTTGCTTTATCTGCCTGTCCTCCAGCTCTTCTACCGTGTGACGGATGAACGAGCTAAGCAGTCTGAGCTCTATCTTGTGGGCATGGTTTGCTACTACGGCAAGCATTACTCCACCTTCTTCTTCCAGACCAAGATACGCAAATGGATGTACTTTGATGACGCACATGTGAAGGAGGTAATGACACGTCTGCTTCTAGTGTTTCTAATAATGAACAGAGCCTGTGCTTAACCCTGTGTGTTCCGAACGATCATAGATTGGTCCCAAGTGGAAGGACGTGGTGTCGAGATGTATAAAAGGCCACTACCAACCTCTATTGCTGCTGTATGCTGACCCGCGTGGCACACCCGTGTCTTCGCAAGATATGCTGGCAGCACAGCTGGACCTGCACCACAGCAGCAAGGCCGGCTACGACAGCGAAGACTCCGGTGAGATAAAGAGGAAGTGAGAGGTAGAGGGTTAAGCAAAACAAAAGAAAAACATACGTATAAGTTCTGATTCTGTGGAAACAAAGGAATGGTTCACTCGTCTTTCCTAGAGATGTGGAAAAGTATTGATATATATATATATATATATATATATATATATATATATATATATATATATATATATATATATATATATATATATACATATTTTTTTCCTTGATAATATATTGATATTCTAGCTTCTAGTATCAGACTTTTTTTTTGTTATTTTATGGATTAAAAAATCCATAAATGTTTTTGTGCACAAATGAAGGTACAAGTAGGCGTGGCCAACAATTGCCATTTTGTTTGCACGTCATCGCACCAACTGTGGGTGACCAAAAAACAACAAAGAGGTGGAGCATCAGTGAAGCTACAAACGCCTGCTAGCATTTTGCTTAGACAGGCTTTTCTTTGGGAGAAAAATTACTTTAATACTTCATTACATTATTGCTTTACAGGTCTAAAGAAAATTATGAATGATAAATTATCATTATTATTATTATTATAAGTAAAATAAATACCTTTATAGACAAAGTATATAAGTATACAATTTCACTCACCTGGAAATACATATCATCTGATAATTGTAGGAAATAATTCCAAAAGGCAATTGACTGTGTAAAGCCACATAAAACAAAACAAAATGTATATGCTGAGTTCAGCGGCTAATCAGCCGGAATCAGCTGAGGTGATGAGACAGCGAGCAGCGAGACCTAGCTGTCACTCAAGTGGCCATGCACTTAATTATGCAGATTTAATAAAAACTTATTAAAAACAAAACTTATGAGTTATAAAAAAGTTCACCCCCCTCACAGTTGTCATGAAGGGTAATATTAGCTATCTGCACCAAAACCATCTTCTGTACCTGGCTGTAAACATGTTTGTATTAGCTGTAAAATGAGCTAATTTACCATTACAGTCAGAGAAGCTCTGGATTTCCTGGAGCCAACCCTCTAAGGCGAGTCGATGATTTGCAGTTTCAGTTACTTCCGTATTGGCTTCACAAGGGAAAGCTGGGAGTTGCCGCTTGCTTCCTCCTCTGCTCTTTTTTTAAAGTATTGTAATATGTCGCTACATGTATTATAGTGTAATATATCATGATATATTGTGTCTGGACCCATGTATTGGGATGTGTATTGAATCGGGAGGCCCCTTGCCAATACACAGCTCTAGTTTTTCTGAACCCTAAAGAATTTTGTCACACCCGCTAATGACCAATACTTTCCATAAAAGAAACATACAAAAATATTGGCCGTGGAAATAAAGGCTTACTTAATGACAGGCTAAACAAATTTTGAAGCACTCAATGTAAATTTGCAGCTATTATTACACATTAAGTAATCCTTAATGCCATTCTTAGTTAAATTATAAAAATAAACATTATTATTATTATTATTGTAATTATTATTTTTATTATTATTACTATTAAAAATCTAACATTATATTTAGTGTTAGTTTTATTATTATAAATTTAACAATATTATTATTATGTATACAGTAAATTAATAAAATTAGTTATTATAGTTGCTTTTATTAGCTTTAATTTTGGCTTATGAGCTAAAAAATATTATTAAATATAAAAATTATATTATTATTTTTTTATAAACCACTCTTTAGGTTTGATCCATATTGCATTTTCATATTTGGTGCAAAATCACAGCATGTGGAGAGATGGAAGTCATGAGGAGCAGCATTTTCTGTGAAAATTGAGAATCTGAGAAACTGAAAACACTTATGATGTGCTCATTTGACTTCTGATTTTCCTGAAACCCTATGATTCTGAACAAAAGTAACTGTTTATGTATTTTATTTACTAAGTTAATTGACACCCATTCTAACAGTCCTTGGCACATTTGGGATGTTCCTGTGAAAAGTTGTGATTTCTGAATGTATCAGATTTTTTGTTGTTGCTGAAAATCTGATTTAGGAAAATTGATCTGAGTGATTCATTCATGCATTTGAATGATTTGGTTAACAGGTTCATGACTTTGCTTCACAATCCAGTGATTGCTACAATAATTCTTGATTTACCAGCTCACTAAACAGGAAGATCTTGGTGAAAAATGCCTTCAATTTCATTCTGTATCTCACACAAAAAAAGTATGACTTTAGAACAGTGTTCCGCAAACTTTCTGAATCCTAAAGCCCACCCTTTTTAAAACAATACTCAGTGGACTCAGTGGGATGAGGATTTTTAAACCAATTTTGAACCCATTGTTTATAAATAATAAGGTATTTTAGAGCTAGGCATAAACAGAAAAGTTAAACAGAGAAAGTAAAAAAAATCAGGTCCAAACACAATAAAATGAAGTTTCTGGATACAGCATATTGAGGTTTTTAGACAGTGCACATTTCTGACTTTTGAAAGGGAGTATTTTTTGGTATTTTGTTTCTTTGGTTGCATGTTGTTAACGCACAGTTTTTTCACAATTTAAAACATTTTATAATAATTCTTGATGTCTTTAAGGCAGTTTTCTGAAGCTTTACAGCAGGCACTGGCTCTGGTTTAAAAACATTGCTTAAAAAGACCTGAAATATTGTGCAAAAATCACAGAGACATCCTTTATAGAGCTTTTAAATACTTTTTGAAGACTGAAAATTTTGTCTACTCTCATTGTGATTGTCATATTATGCTTTTTTTTACAAGATCTAAAATAACTCTCAGGTGTCCACAGGCTATGTCTGTGAAATTTCAGCCCAAAATACCTCACAAATCATTTACTATATCATTCTATGAATCAGTGCTTCACTATCTTGGTTCTCGCACTCCATCTCTCTTTTCACTTTAGTCATTTGTTCTAATTCTAAAACTATAAATGGCCTGCAAGTGGACTCCAAAGTATATTTAGACATGATTTCAGCTTGAAGGGACTATATAGGTTTTATTCAAATGGCATTTTGGTTTGTGACATGTTGTATTTATTTAAATTCATTTATTTACATTTATTTAGAAAGGTATGTTAGCGCATTTTAACAAAATCAGTCTTCTAGCCAGAAGAGAACCAAAGGCTAACATTTTAATTTGTCTTAATATCAAAGGAGCATTCCCGAACAATGGGAGAATTGGTGATGGCTCTACTACAACCCCAAATGCCTCAGAAAAGGTCTAAAAAAACTAAACCAGTACATGTAGAGCTTTGGACATGTCCAGAACATGTGGAGCAGAGTAGCAGGAGCCTGCCCACACCGATCGCTTATGGAATCTATGTCAGCATTGATCCTAGGCCCCGTTTACACTGCTACGTTTTAGTTTTAAAGGGCATAAGTTTTGTTACGGTTACGCCATTATCCACACTACACAGGAGTTTTCAAACGCCAAAAAATGAGCTTTTTAAAAACGCTGAACTGTTTTCATTTTAAAATGCTCCTGCTCTGTCTCAGTGTGGATAGGAGAAAACAGAGACATCTGAAAACGGAGATGTGGCTGCAGACATTACCCTTACTGATTGGGTTTTTTCCTCAATATTAAGTAGCCTACACAAAGTTCAGTCTTGCATCCTTTCCTTGTGAGTTCAGACTTTGCAATTTTGATATGGAAAACAAACTCCCGAGGACACACCATTTAAATTTTCAAAGGGAACAGTGTACTGTATAACCTCATTCACATCACCCTGGCTAAGTTGTTTCACTTTCTTCACAATAAAATGAAAACATGATATAAGGAATTGCCTATTTTCATTTTCATAATAACAACTTAAAAAACACCAAAAATGTTGAGGCATTGTGTAGCTGCAAATGTATACTGTATGACTGTCATCTTTACTGTATGCATATTTAGGTAACTCTTTATTTTGATGGTCCATTTGAGTATTAGTACTGTAGACTATCTGCTTAATATCTGTTGATACTGCTCCGTCAACAGACATTTAACTGACTATAAGAAACTTGGCAATTAGGATAAGTACTAACACTAATCCTAACCACAACTCTAACTCCAATGTAACAGTCTACTTATAATCTAATGAGAATTCAACAAAAACGGAAAATCAAAATAACATGTGACCCATATTTTTAACAAAACAGAGCCTATAACGTAACTGCGTCCTTGACAAGATAAATGAAATATCACGTTTAATAAATATAGTGAGATTAGATCCAGCAGTAGATTCTTGGTGAACCGTCTGATGTGCACAGCTCTCACCTGGGGAGCTCTGCTTAAAGCACCCGCTGACTGCCTGAAGCTCAGACGCACACATATGCTGCAGCGCATGACAGAGTGTGTGTGGTCAAGTGATGTGTGTTTTTTCAGTGGTGTAGTGTGGATGGAGAACTGATCCAAAACATTAGGTGATACGTGGATTGTTTTTGTTCTAAAATGTCGTTTTAAAACTAAAACATATTAGTGTAAACAGGCCCTAAGAGAGTCAGACTTTAGACAAGTAAAAAAATTATAATAAAAACTCTGCAGTAAAAGATATTTAGAGAAAAGAAGTAATTTGAACCTTTATTTAATTACACAAGGGTGAGTAAATGATGAAAGAAATATTATTTTTTAAAGAGAGCTATACCTTCAAATGTGGCCTTTGAGGAGCTGGCTATTTCTAAAGCTAACTTTCTCGGTTTTAAATGCCCTTATGTGTTTATTTTGTTTTCAGGACGGGAGCCCTCAATTTCAAGTGACACTCGCACAGACTCTTCCACAGACAGCTACAGCTACAAGCACTCTCGATCACACCATGAGTCCATGGCCTCCCATTTCTCTTCTGACTCTCAGGGAACTGTGGTGTGTAATCAGGACAGCAGCGGTTCCCAGAACAGCATGGACACTGCAGGTACACATGCGCTCTTTAATATAAATGCCACCAGCCACAGCGTCACGCTACATCAAACAAAGAAGCCACGTGCCCTGATAAATTTACATGCAACTTTCAGAAAAATATATCTGTTTCTGACTTTATTTTTTAGGGGAGGTTCTAGACCAGGCCACTCCTATTTGCACGCCAAGACCCTCTTCTACTGGCCATCTGCAGGACTATAAAGAGACTGTGAACATGATCCACAGCAGACCTCTCTCATCGTCCTCTAGCTCAGGCGTGGGGGGTTCGGAAGCTGGAGCGCGAGCGAGAGACTGGGAGGACGAGAGCACCAGCAGCGAGTCCAAATCCAGCTCCAGCGGAGGCCGCTATCGCCCCACTTGGAGACCCAGAAGAGAGGCCCTGAACATCGACAGCATCTTCAGCCGGGAAAGACATCGGCCTGTGGGATACACCACGCTTGGACCTTCCCCTCTGCCGGAAGACCCCATGTCACCAGTGCACGGTGAGCTGGTCTCAGTGGCTGTGGCAGAGGGATCAAACGGAGCAGCAGGAGAGACGGGGGATATGACCGATGGCTCTGGGGGTGCGGTGGAGCCGGGAGTTGAGCATGTGCCAAACCCACCACCTTTACGAGGTGTAGAACAGCAGCCTCGGCTGATCCAGAGGATGGAGAGTGGCTACGAAAGTAGTGAGAGGAACAGCAACAGCCCGATCAGCATGGACATGCCCCTCAGCGACAACCCAAACTCGAGTGCTCACAGGTAACAATGCAACTCGCCAAACTGAACAAACCTAACTGAAGTCAATTCTCAAAGCCAGCAATTTACCAATAATAGAAGAAATTCTGTAATAAGAATTGATTCAGTGTTATACTGACTAATCAATTATTTCTAATAATTTTAGGCTTATTTTGCATGAACGTTTTCATTTTAATTGCTCACTAAATCAACCCCTCTCTCTATTTATAAATACTCTACAAAAGTTTGGGGTCAATAGGATTTTTAAATGTTTTAAAATAAGCTTCTCCTGCTCACCAAGGCTGCATTTTTAAAAAATACAGAACAAATTTAAACATTACAAATTGTTATTGCACTATAAAATAACTACTCAAAAGTAAGTTATAATATAATTTAATAATTTATTCCAGTGATTTTAATGATGAATTTTCAGCTTCATTACTCCAGTCTACAGAGTCACATGATTCATCAGAAATCACTCTAATATTAATTAATTAATTAATTCATTCATTCATTCATTTTCTTTTCGGCTTAGTCCCTTTATTAATAATTGGAATGAACTGCCCAATAATCCAGCAGATGCCCTTCAAGCTGCAATCTACTTGGAAACATCCATACGCACTCATTCACACACATACACTACAGCCAATTCAGTTTATTCAAGTCACGTGTAGAGCATGTCTTTGGACTTGTGGGGGAAACCTGAGAACCTAGAGGAAACCTATGCGAGTTGGGGAGAGCATACAAACTCCACACAAAAATGCCAACTGACCCAGCCTCGGCTTGAACCAGTGACGTTCTTGTAAAAGCAATAATGGCTGGAGTAATCATTTCATTTGTAACTACATACAAATAAGAAAGCAGTAATATAAAATATTCATAAAAATCTAACAATAAAAAATGTCTTACAATTAATAAATGCCACCCTGATAAACAAAATAATTTTCATGAAAAAAAGCATGAAAAAAAAAAACAGACCCCAAACTTTTGAACGGTATTAATTTTATATATGAAGAGTTCAGATGCAAAATCCTCTAAGTGCCTTCTGAAATTTCTATCAAAAATGATTTTTTTAATCTTTTTTTAATCTTTTCAAATTTGTTTACCTTTTCATAAATGTGATATTACTGAACATACACACAGGAGCCTGATAAAAATGCAAATTTTAGAGGAAAATTTCAGATGACATTTAAAGGTTTATGCATCTCTTCATATATATATATATATATATATATATATATATATATATATATATATATATATATATATATATATATATATATATATATATATATTCATAATCTTCTGGATATCCTTTTTTAGCTATTTGTATTATCAATAAAGAAAAGGAAACACTAATGTAACATAAAATTTGCAATGCACACAGTGAGGTACATTAGGTGTAGAAAACATTAGTTTTAAAAAAGAAAATGTATAGAGTTTACAAAATAAAATAGTGATACAACATCATCAGCACTTTTAATTCTTTTTCAAATATTTTCCATGTGCTGTTTGTATTTGGCATAATGACACTACACAATATTTTTCTAGTTATTTTGCAAGATAATTGTATTCAGCTTAAAGTGCTGAATACTAATTAAAATCACATTTTAAATATTAAAAAAAAAAAAATCTTAGCAGGCTAATTATATTGACCTTTAAAATATTAATATTAAAATCTACTTTTATTCCAGCCAAATTAAAAGAATAATAATTTCTCCAGATGAAATACTGATACTAATAATAGGAATTGCTCAGGACAACTTTGTTTCTTACACATCACTTTTCAAAATTTAAATTAAGTAATTAAAAATGTAAAATAGAGTTTAAATGATAAGTTTGCATTTTAAGTAAAAATACAAAAAAGTAACTGTTAAATAACTTATCAAAATGCAGTAATTTGGTAAATCTCATAATTCTTCTTCAGATGCACAGACAATTTTGTCATATCTCTTGAATATTTCATCAGGTACTGGCAATCTTTTCAAATTATATGTGTTGTCATTTCTTTTTCAAATATAAGCATTTCCAAACCCATGATGTGCCTCAGACCGCAGACACAGAGGGTCAGATTTACTAACAGCTTGCTCCAGAACAAATCCTTTTTTTGGCATTAAAAACTATCAGGATTTAGCTACTAAAGGCACACAGTGAAACAGTACTGCTGAAAAAGTGTTGACACAGTGCTTTTTCAGCTGACCCTATTTTGATGTTTAAATGAATCACGCAATATTACTTCCTTAGGATAGTCCGTTTGCTTGTATTTGCATTTGTATTGTATTAATGGTCCAAAAAGCATGTCTTAACAAGTTTTAGGCTGATGTTGTTATTAGGTAAACATATACACTTAGAAACTTGAACTATATTATACACACCTTGTCCTTGTCATCTCTGGTAAGTCTTCTTTATTTCTCATTGTCAGTATATTACTTGTAAAACCCCCATCTATGTTTCGATGGGATTTGCTGGTAATTTGTCCTGTTTGGTAAATCTGGCTCATAGTTTTCTCTGTCTGTTATCAGCTACTTCTGAATAGTTGTTGTTTTGCAATCTAACGCACAGACAGATGTTACTGTATGGTGAGTAAATACTGCTGATCTATATATAGAGCAGAGGTAAACACCAGAATGTGTGCTTTGGAGGATATGCATAGGCATTTTTCTCAGGCTTATGTCTGTTAAAAATATTTACATAGGTATGATTATAGGGAAACACAGTGGCTCAGTGGTTAGCACTGTCGACTCATAGCAAGAAGGTTGCTTGTTCGAGTCCCAGCTGGGTCAGTTGCCGTTTCTGTGTGGAGTTTGCATGTTCTCCTCAGGTTCGCGTGGGTTTCCTCCGGGTTTTCCGGGTTCCCGCACAGTCCAAAAACATGCGCTATAGGTGAATTTAATAAATTTAATTGGCCGTAGTGTATGAGTGTGATTGAGTGTGTATGGATGTTTCCCAACACTGGGTTGCAGATGGAAGGGCATTAGCTGTGTAAAACATATGCTGCATAAGTTGGTAGTCCATTCCATTGTGGTGACCCCTGATGAATAAAGTTAGTTAGTTAGTAAAACTTTATTGTCCTTGACAGGAAATTTGTTATGGACATCACTACGGTGCCAGTGCGCTCACTACACACCAGTTATTGGTGGAGTGGAGAGACAGTGATAGATTCAATTCGGTGGATGGGGATGATTGGGAGGTCATCATCATAAGGGCCGATAGAGGACTTTGGTCAGGACACCGGGGTTACACCCCTTCTCTTTCACGAGTAGTGCCATGGGATTTTTAATGACCACAGAGAGTCAGGACCTCGGTTTAACGTCTCATCCGAAAGACGGTGCCCACTAACAGTGTTGTGTCCCCTTCACTTTTACTGAGGCATTAGGACTCACGCAGTCCACAGGTTGAGCGCCCCCTGCTGGCCTCACTAACAACACTTCCAACAGCAAGCTAGTTTTCTCAAGTGGTCTCCCATCCAGGTACTGACCCGGCTCAGCTCTGCTTAGCTGCAGTGAGTGACCAAAGGAAAACAAAGCCAAAGGAAAATGAATAAATGAATGAAAGTATGATTATTTTACAGATATTTACATGCATTAGTACTGTTAAGATGATGCAGAAGCTTAAAGGGGTAGTTCACCCAAAAAATTAATTTCTGTCTTTATTTACTGAGCCTTGACTTGTTCCAAACAAGTCTAAGTTTATTTAGTCTGTTAAGCAAAAAGAAGATATTTTGAATTTAAATAACCATTGACATTCAGAGTAGAAAAAAAGAAATACTATGGAATTCAATACTTAAAATTTTTCAACATTTTTCAAAATCTCTTCTTTTGTGTTCAACAGAATATGACAAGGGTGAGTTGATGGCAGCATTTTAAATTTTGCTCAACTATCTACACTGTATGTCAACTTATTACACTGTATGTCTATACAAAATCAGGTTCATATTCTCTTCATTAAGATATATGATTGAGAATGAGAGTGTTTGTTAGTTGTATTTTGTGATGTTAGTGTTTGTTAATCAGTGTTTGTTAATTGTATTTTGCCTACAGTACAGAAAATGCCCAAATATCCATTTATGGTTGTATCATATATTAAACCTGTACTGTATTTGTAACTAACGCTCATGGTATTTAAGTTCTCAATCGTTTGCTCTCTTCCACTTGCAGGGACTTTGGAAATAAGAGGCCTGTAACGTCTGGACCATCTTGGCGCACTGTGCCCAAGTCCAAAAGTAGCAGTGCCATCCTGCAGGACCTCAAATCACCCACCTGGAGCAGCGCTGCGCTAAGTTTGGGTGAGTCACCGCTAGTCTGTGCCCATGTGCATTAACCTACTATTTCTACAAGGTGTTCGTGTCAGGTCTTTAACTGCGACATGAATATTTCAGTTACTTATTTATGTCTTTGTTTTATATTTGTAGGGGAAGAGCGTAGTGAGCTGGATGAATTGCAGGAGGAAGTTGCTCGCAGGGCTAGGCAACAGGAGCTGCAGAGGAAGAAGGAGAAGGAGAGAGAAGCGGCGCAGGGCTTTAATCCCAGACCCAGCAAATTCATGGACCTGGATGAACTTCAGCACCAGGGTAAATGCCACACAGTGCCAAAAAATGCTCCAACCAACTGTGAGAGGAGCTAGAAAATAAGCTTAAATCAGCCTAAAGTGGTTAGCTGGTCACCCACCATGGCTATGTAAGACTGTAATGGTAGTCTACTGGTAATGTTTGTTGAGTTTTGATTTACATTTATTCATTCTTATAACTAGACTGTTAAGGCTTGTCTGTTCAGATTGACCACAAATTAAATGACTATTCAGCTAAACCAAATTCCAAAAACCAGCATTGCAATATATTAGGAGACCAGCAAACCTATTGAAAGCAGCTATAACAAACAAACTTTAGTCTGGTTTCTAGAATAGCCTAATATATTGGAACACAACGTTTTAGATTTTTTTGATTAATTGTTGAAGCTTGGACTGTTTTGATGGTTCTAAGAGGTTTGGCTTACTTTTCAGATGATCAGACTGACTAGCTAAACCAATTTATTAACCTCTTAAAACTGGTGTCCAGTTTATAGGGTTCCATTCATCAGTACAACAAAATTGGAAGTCACTTGATATAAAAAGTTTTTAACTGATCTTCTTGAAGACTGGTCTAAGCTATTTAGGTTTGTCTGGTTTGAACTTAGCAGGGAAATTAAAGCAAACTCCAACTTGGTCATATTTACTGGGAGACTAGCAAACCAGTTTTAAGCAGCTAAAATCAGCAAACCCTTTTAGGTTTCTTCAAAAGTTGGACCAATTTAAACACTAATTTGGCCATATACTGACAGAGTAGTTAAAACCAGCAAATGAAGTTTGTTTATAAACTGATTTCTAGAGGATCATGTGCTTATGATTGACCACAGCTGGACCCACATTAACTAACACATGATTCACAAATCAGATGATTTCTTACTCACTATAAATAACCAGAGTTTCTTTCCACAGTTATCTTAGTCTTGAAGAATTCCCCTTTCACCCCTACTCCCCCTTTTCCTTGATGGGTGGCATGGTGGTCCAGTGGTTAGCACTGTTGCCTCACAGCAGCTTGTTCAAGTCCTTACCAGGCTAGTCGACGTTTCTGTGTGGACTTTATATATCCTCCCCATGCTCGAGTGTGTTTCCCCTGGTTTCCTCCCACCACCCAAAGACATGCAACTTAAGTCAATTGACTAATCCTAATTGGCACCATAGATGTGCTCCTAGTCATCTAGTATCTCTTCATAGTAATTTCTATTTAGTCATTAGCTATAAACAGCAGACGAGTTCTCGAGAGCTACCTGAGCTCAAACTCCCCTCTCGCCCTGCAAATGGGAGGTTGCCCCAAGCTTGATGATCTTATGAGCTCAGGGCTCTCTCCTGGGACAGCATGCCAAACATGCTTTATAATCAATCATCTGCTAAGTGTGAACTCTTGAAATGACTTTGGCATGGTTCAGGCTTTTTTTTAGCAGTTAAAGTAAATGTTGAATCAATGTATAACCAAGAGCGGTTTACCAGCACCAATTTAAACCAACTTAAGCCAGCAAACCACTTTAGGCTGGTATAAACTTTTATTTAGCAGATGAAGTAAAAGTTGAACAAATTTAACACCAACCTGGCCATAAACTGGGAGACAAGCAAACAAGTTCCGAAACTGGGTCAAAAAGGGAAAGTAAAATTGTATCCCTTACTCTTTTGCAACCCTTCATTTAGTTCAATGTCTCTGGATCATTAAATTATAAAAACATTGAATTCTCACTCATATCACATATGGTAAATAGGCGCACCCTAAATAGAGCACCAATACTCAACTCATATGCCACATTTTTGATCGTACTGTAAATCAGTGTGTTCCCTAGTCGGTGTGCATGATGTGTGAGCATATGTGTCTAAATGTGTTGTGTGAGTTGTGTCGGTGGCAGTCAGTGGACTGTGTGCGCTTGTGTACAGTGTGTCTTTAAACATTGTGAGTGGCGTGTTTCGGGGAAGACACGGGGGCTCCTGTGAGCTGTGTTTGTGCGTGTGTGTGTGAGCGTCTTCTCAGAGGCCTGGCCTTGGTGTGTTAATTGCAGGGAAGGGGGGCAGTTTTGAGCACTGCCTGGCGGAGGCTGACTCTCTCATAGAGCAGTCGATGCGCCTGGAGCAGGCTGGGGACACAGCTACAGCCCTGGCGCTCTCCCACCACGCCGTGT